CCTGTACTATGATATCTTCGGGTTGCGTTTGCGTTTACATTGCATGGATTTTTTACCACATTGTCAGTTTTACTGTAAAGCCATGTGAAGCAGACCGGTTTTCATTTCTTATTATATCGCTTCCTTCGTAATTTTTCGTCTCCAACACGTAGAGTGAACGCACTTAATCCGTGAAATTTAACCAGCCTCTTCAGTGTACAGTACAGTGTACTATTTTGTGCAATTTAGCTAATGGTGTTCGTTAGGAACAATGGCGATTCAAAGGAGGTATTTATACAAGAAGRACCGCAATGTCTTGTTACTAGTTCCTAATAAAGCTCGAGACGACGGATTATTATTTATWCATCTAAAGATGAATCTTCTAAAGTTTGCTAAGTCATTCAGAAAATGTACCGATAMGAATTTGTCAGAACGCTCAAATATCCCGCMYTTGTGCCGCCCTTGTCATGGGCCGACTAATTCTCCATAAGCCCTTCCTTCTGCATGGACTTAAATCAAATKCATTTTCACATGTGCAGGCACCGCGGAACATAATTTTTATTGGGGGAGGGMTAGATCGGAACGGGRCAACTTTCGAGGAGCGACAGATTAATTGGACGAATGTTTTCAAAATGGCGGCCAAATTATCTGGGGGTTAATCACCCCCAAGCAACACCGGCTCCGCGGTGCCTGATGTGCCCTTTCCGTCTCAGTTATCGATGTTATTTCTTTGTACGAGGCCACGAATGTTCAATTGAACGTATTTAATCTTTTCAGGCATGTCCTTCCATTTCAAGCCTATTTTACTTCGGGTTCAGATCCTGAGTTCACAGTGATTCAAACCAGTGGTGAATTACTGCCTTCGGGTTCACAAGGAACGCTCATTAAGATAGGGTATAAGCCAACTGTATATGGAAAGACTCACCGTGCTAAATTGGTAGTGCAGGTAAAAGCATTTTAACAACCATTCTAATCGTCTTTCTTTTATACTAGAATTTTAATTTTACTTTTGTTTTTTTTTATTGTTTGTTTTTAGACCGCTGATATGCAGTGGACATACGACGTATTTGGAACTACTCCAGAATACGCCCCACCAAGCAGCCAAGCGAAAATTTCTTCTGGAAGTCACACTCAACGGCGAACTGTCAGACAGAAGAAAAATTACGTTTTAGACAATCTCAAATTACCAAACACTGCGGTGTCATCTCCACTAAAAGGCGCTCGTCTCGTATCACGTGCCAACAAGACGTAAATAAGTACTGGTTCGTAAATATGAGCAATTCTCCTCGGTTAGCTGCCTACAAGTAATCATTTTGTAAAGTTTGTAAAGTGTCATTCAAAATAAAGTTTTGTTTTCGGTGTTTATTTGTTTAACCGACGCTTACAGCATTTTTATTTTTCTAATTATTTGACCAATCCCGACCTTATACCCCACTATGCCCGAGTATATTAAAACTCTCGTAAAATATTCACTTTATCCCCACCCCCTTGGGCATCATTGCTGGTCAAATGTGATCACAAGCCCCACATAGTCCCCACCCTGTCCTGGGTTGGGGGAGTCGGGGTTTACTTTGACTATTGCATTACTGAGCCATAGAATATATGTGTAGGCGGAGTAGACAGATAATTCGGTTCATTAGCATATTTGCATAAGCATATAACTTTTAAACCTAAATCGGCACTGACTATTGAAACAACACAGCACAATTAAAGCTTAATTTTGAGTTTTAATTTCTCATGTATAATACTTTTTGACTCAAACGTTTTCAAAACTCCACTTTTAGAGAGATTTAATTAGCGCTTTTGCCAGTCATCATCTTGAAACGCTAATATCTCATAAACTATTACATGTAAAGACCTGAAACTTTCGTCGTTTACAGTCCTTAATAAGCCCTTTTACTTTATGAACTTATTTTCCTTTTTTTTATTTACTTATGCTAATTAGCAAAATTTTGTAAACAAAAAAAGATCCGCCTATTTGCTACAATAATCGTTTCAACAATGACAAAACCAAACGATTTTACATGTAATTACACGTACTTAGCCTGTGTACATCCGTTTCTCATAGCCTGTGTACATCCGTTTCTCACCCCTCCAAAAAAATCGGGGAGAGAACGTCTGTGATTTGCCGTTGCTAATCGT